CTACCGGTCTACCGGTGAGCACTACATTGGGGACAAGTTTACCTGCCAGTTCACGGATGCACAGAACTGGAAGCACTGTTTTGAGCACCTTCCTTGCCTTTTGGGTCAGCCGACCCACCTTTTCTTTTGCACTGAGGAGAAGAATGAAACATGGCAGCAGCCGCGATGGAATTCAGAGACAGATGGTTTTCTTCAAGTTTTTGCATGCCAATACCCTTCATTTTGTTGGGTATATCCAGCTACATGCACCACAAGCTCCTTGGCTCATGATCTTGACTCGAATCAACATGCCAAAACCATCCCACGCGGCGTCAATCTTCATTGAGAGGAGCCTCAACGACAAGCATGGAGTTGATGTTATGGAAATTTACAGCCCACCAAGACGCTGGAAGCCCAGAAGCAGAACTGGAAGAACAAAGTGAGACCACCATGGCACATTGGCGAAGCCTTAGACTTGGTCACAGGTTTTGATTTCCGACTTCCTCAAGATCGAGCTCAAGCCTTGAAGTTGGTCAGACTACATCGACCAGCGCTACTCCTTTTGAGTCCACCTTGCACTACCTTCTCAACCCTGCGCACTCTTTCTGACCACAAAAGACCGCCCAATACGGTTCGTCGAGAACGCGCAGAAGGACTTCATCCTCGAAAAGCTACGAGCTGGAAACATCCTCGACTTCTACGCCTACTAGCCAGACCAGATGTCTATGGCACCTTTGCTTTGGTCACCTCAAGGCTTTGCAGGGAAGAAAGCGACCTTCTTGGTCACAAACCTCTATCCATTGGTCAAGAATCTTCACCGACATCGTTGTGCAGGCGATCATCAGCATCAATGGCTCATCAACGGCCGTGCAGCCGATGCGGCCAAGTACACGACTCCTTCTGCGCAGGCCATTCTCAAAGCACTACATCACCATCTACAGGCTTCCACTGCCTATGTGATGACCTTTGAGGAGCCTCAAGATTCTGCTGATCCCGCACTACCTCTTGACCTACACACTCAAGCCGCCTCCTTGGCCAAGTCGATGGCTCAGGTTTTTGTGAACCAATCTTGATCTGTTCTGATGCACTTGCTGAGCACCACCTGCACTCCATTTGTAAGCACGCGGGTGTCTTGCCTTTCAACTTTTCCCAAGAACAAGCATAGGTGCCATCTTGCTCCTTTGTTGAGGCTCTTGATGTAATCATGAACGTGTTCTCCATATTCTGCTAGAAGTCCTCTGTAGCTTTTGCCATAGACAAGTTCATAGGGAGTTGCACCTTTGACTGGCTGAAACCTACACCCAACTGGGATGTCTTGCTGCCCAAGTCCACAGTGCATGATCTTATCCAATCTTGATACCCAAGTCTTGACTGCGTACCTTCAATGAATGTTCCTGCAAGTTTTCTCACTCTGTCAACTGTGTTCCCTGACAGAAATGAATGATCTCCTAGCTTTGAGTTGACCAATCTGGTAGTGAGTCCTAGACTGTGGCAAGCATTGATCAGCATCTTGAGGATTTGTCTTGTTGCGGGTTCATTGTGCCTCCTATAGGTGATTGCTGAATACCCCAGCAATTGACTGAAATTCATCAACTCCGTGCAATGAGACGAAATTTGCC